GGTATAAACAAGGTAACATTTAAACAACAGAAAGTTGACGCAAATTGGCAGATATTCTCATCAATCAATGCATTATCTACAAAGGTTTTTGTTTTTCGTCATCGACTGCATATCAACCAAAAATATAAAACGTTGGAATATGCGTAAACGCTCTTGATCCGAATAAAAAAGAAATTTCAGTAGCTTTAGACAACCAAGACTAGCAAATCATTCAAAAAAAAAAAAAACTGGTAAAAGCTGTTACTATTACAATACTTTAATTTAAATTTTAAACTATATTGTGTAAAGGCAATTGACGTCATAAACACTAAGGCTGATTCGCATGATTAAATTTGAGCAAATGTTAGTGACTAAGGCAACTAAGCAATGTTTTAAATAATTCGACTCTTAATCATCCCTTAGTACGCACCCAGCAAAAATTTGAGCCATATATTAAAAGATACGCGAGTTGTTTGCATCTTAAGAAAGACTCTTTCGCATTAAGACTCGTATATAAACATGGGTATGTACATAAACATAAATATAAGCAAGTACATATGCAAGTTTTTTTTTTTGAAGATTTAGTGCCCACGAATCGAAGTGCATACATTCAAACATACACTTGTATATTTAATACTGCATCACATAAGTGTGTATCTGGTTTTTCACTGCCACGAAAATACTTATTTAAACAAGAGAGGTTAATATTTACTCACGCATGCATTTGGTTACTGGCCTATGTACAAATCTCACTTAAAGTTTCATAATCTTTACAAAATATACATTTATTTCACACGTGCTAGCAAGACGACAGAGTTTTCAAGCCACTTATGTATTCGCTGGAAATTTAAAGTGACTCCGGCGGGAGTATGTTTAATCTGTATTATATTCGAAAGTTGGGTTGCATTGGCAAATGTCTGAACTATGTATTCCCAAGTACCGACTATCTCCACCATCATTATTATTTTTTTTTTCAGGAACCAGTTTTCATTTCTCAATGGCATTCCTAAGTTTTGTGTACATTTTTTTACGCTAGGGCTGAGTAATGCATGCGTTTGTAAGGGTTTAAAATGTTCAAAGTGTCAGCGTACAACAAAGAAACTCAAAGCTTATTGGTGGAACAAACCTACTATGTGGCACTAACATTATCCAAGTAGTCAATACGCTCTACACC